TGGCTGTGCTCTGCTTCTATGTGCCTGTGCTAGGCCTGTCCATTGTGCACAGATTTGGGCGCCACACCTCACCGCTGGTGCACATCCTCATGGGCACTGTCTCTGTGCTCTTTCCTCCCCTGATCAACCCAGTTATCTACAGCATCAAGACCCAGCAGATCCGCAGGGCCATTCTCAAGGTGATTTCACTGGGGAAGATAAAATGAGACACTGGGGACGGATCGTGGAAATTCAAAACAAGGAACGAGTCGAAATTTCTTTTTAGAGCCTTCTTATCACAAAACAATTTTTGTTTACTTATTTTATTGTGATCGATTGTACATAATGAAATGACTGTAATGTTAAAGTTGATGCTTATTATTGCTTATGAATATATTTATAAATATACAGTCACTGCTATTTTCTTACATGAATAATAATAATTGCTTTTTACATAATTATTTGCAAGTTCAAAGTGATTTTTGTATTTTTTGCTTTGCATGTTTATTAAAACTATAATTCTACAATAATACCATTAGTAATAAAGTACTCTTATAATATGGAAGCTAAAATCATCACCTCATATTTTTTGGATTAGTTAATGACTTTACCACCATTCCTCACAATAAAATATTTATTTATGTATTACTTGTCGATTTATTTAGAGTCAAGGTCTCACTCTATCACCCAGGTTGGGGTGCAATGACATGACCATAGCTCACTGCAACCTCAAACTCCTGGGCTCAAGTGATCCTCCTGCCTGAACCTCCCAAAGGGCTAGAATTAGAGGCAGGAGCCACCAATCCTGGACTTACTTATTTTTAAATTGACATAAATGTGTACATATTTATCGTGTACAAAATGATGTTTTAAAGTATATATACATTGTGGAATGACAAAATCTTGCTGATTAACACATGCATTACTTCACATAGTTATTTTTATTATGAGAACACTCTACATCTACTCTCTTAGCATTTTTCAAGAATACAGTATATTAGTAACTATAGTCCCCATGTTTTACAATAGATCTCTTAAATTTATTCCTCCTGACTTAAATTGTGTATCCTTTGACCACCATCCCGCAATCACCCCATCCTAATGAGTCCAACCCCTGGCAACTACCATTCTACTTTCTACTTATATGAGACCAACAGTTTTAGATTCCATATATGAGTGAGATCATGCATTATATCCTTAACATAATGTCCTTCAGGTTCATTCACGTTATGGTAGAACAGAATTTCCTTCTCTTTTATGGCTGAATAAATAGTATTCCATTGTGTATGTATACTACATTTTCTTTATCCATTTATATATTGATGAACACTTAGGTTGATTGTGTATCTTGGCTACTGTAAATAGTGCCACAATATATATGGGAGTGCAGATATCTTTTTGACATACTGTTTTATTTTGGAGAGATATATATTCAGTAGTGAGATTCCTGGATCGTATGGTAGTTTTGTTTTTAATTTTTGAGGAGCCTTCATATTTATTTTCCATAATGGTTGTACCAATTTGCATTCCCACCAATGGTGTGTCAGGGTTCCCTTTTCTCCACAACCTCGCCAACATTGTTATATTTTGCCTTTTTCATTATAGCCATTCTAACAGGTGTGAGGTAACATCTCATTGTAGTTTCAGTTTTCATTTCCTTGGTGATTAA